TATTTAGGAAAATGGAATAATCCTTCAATCATTGGTCAGTGTATACCACCTGCTAGTCACTTTATCATTGAAAAGATCAACAACACTAGAGCTGTTTTGTTTGGTGGACGAGAGACTGATGATGATGCTAAGTATACTGTTACTAACAATATTTATATATTAGAGATATCAATCAGCACTGTGGTATGTTAAATTATGTGTACTGAATGTATGCACACACACACACACACACGTTAATTTTTAATGGGCGTGGTTTATTTTAGTTCTGGCAGTGTATAAAGAAACCTGAAGCAATAGACCAATGGCCTGTGGGTAAATACTATCATGCAGGTGCTATTATTATAACTGGATCAGACTGTCCTATGCTAGTGATAAGTGGTGGAAGGGATAAGAATAAAGATACATTAGATGATTGTTGGATCTTTAACATCACTCAACATTCCTGGATAAAGGTATGTTAGATATTATTAATAATTGATCTGTACAGTGAGATACATGTAAATTATTATATTTCTATTAACAGTTAGATGTACCTCAATCTGTTAATAAGAGATTGGGTCATTCTCTCTCAGTGTTCATTATGAGTCCTCATTGTGTCTGGATAATAACTACTGGAGGATATGTTGATATGAGACGGACATTTGTCACTAATCCTAACATTGTTATGTTAACTGAACTAGGTCAGTGTATTGGCCACACCTACCTATGAATACTATTAATTACCTAATTATAATTATTTCTTTTGATGTACTTAAGATCCATACCCTCTAATTAAAAATTATTGGGGTGAGCATGAGCAAAGCCCCTCTAAATCCAGTCCATCGAGGCTTGCAATACGTATTCTGTATGACGTCTAATTATAAAATTGGCTGGAAATGCCTTATCTTAGAAAGTGTAAAAAGAATTATTGAAATGGGACAGTAGGAGGGTGTGGTCACAATAAACAAGATGGTAGCGTTTAAACGGGACAAACTTTCAAGTTTTCTAACAGCTGGATAAGAGAGAGGAGCTATCTCAAGCATCTCTAAAGGCTATTCCATCAGATTTGTAAAGTCTGGAAACTAAAATGAACTCTGTAAGATTAATTTTTGTGAGCTACAGCGCTTGTGCTAGTTTTTGTTGAAGAATAATAAATTTTTATAGCCTGTAATTTGATTTAAGACTCTTCTAGATTAGTCCTCTCATTGATAGAATTACATGTAAGATTGTGAGAAGAGCTTGACTAGAAGTTTAGCTTTGGTTCTTAAGTTACCTCAAAGTGATAGATAATATTTGCTTTGTTCAGACCCCAACCATGAGGTTTGGATCTGAATTTGCATGCAAGTAATGGTCTTGAACCGAGAGATGAATGTTCTTTTCTCTCTCAAGAGCTAAATCAGGATCAGTTTATTTTATTTTTATTTTACAATTGATGATATTTATAGTCTCTTCAGACCCTGACCATGAGGTCAGCGTCTGAATACCGTAATTCCTCTAAAAATTCGTCACATCAAGTTTTGTATTTTTAACTTTTAAAAATGAATTTTTGGAGGGAAAGCAGCTATGAAGCTTTTAAATTAATTATTTTGTCGAATTTGGAGGATTCATTAATACAAACAACCAGCTGCATGCTAACTTGGCTATTCAGAGTATCCTGCTCTGGTATTGAACTTAGAGGTAAGTAACAAAATTAGAACTACGTGGAACAATAATATTTAAAACAAATTTTTAGAATGAATTATGGTAGAAAATTTGAAATAATTGTTTATTTTCAAATTTAGAGTGTCGAATATTTAGAGGAATTAAGGTATGCTTCCAGGTATCTTTTCTCTCTCATTAGACTAAGAGCAATGTGTACATGTAGATTAGACTCATTTTATTTTATTTTAATAAAGTCAAGCTAAGCCGCATTGATAGCTCATGCTCACCCCCTCAATGTTTACATTCACCTAGTTAATTATTATTGTATTTTAGTTACTAACAGTAAAGGAGAGTGGACAGTAGGTGATACATTAGATACCAATGGTATGAATGATGAAGAATACAAGAAGAAGTATCAGCAGCAACTACAGACAGGAAGAAGAATATGGTTGGAGGAGTACCAGAAACCAAGAAAAGGAGATACAGCCGATATTGAGCAAACCGTACAAGCTCTTATGAAGAGTCTTGAAGAGAAGAAGAGAGAAGCACAAGTTTATCATCAACAATTGGAGCAGAAGGAAAGAGAGGAAGCAGAGAAAGAGCAAGAAATAAGAAGATATCGTCATCAGCTACAAGAGAAGGATAGGGAGCATCAGCTGGTACTGCACGAGAAGGATAGAGAGCTACAGAAGAAAGAGGAGACATTACGACAGAAGGATATTGTGATACTTGAGAAGGATAAGGAGTTACATCAGTCTGAAGAGTCAGTTCGTAGGTACCAGCAACAAGCACTTACTGATGATCACTGGGTTATTAATAAAGATGAGGTGACTTTAGTCAATTCAATACAAGAATGGAAGAACATTGCTGGTGAGGTTATACCAGTACTTTGCTATATATTTCTAATTATCTATGATGATATACATTTCATTTTATGTAGAAGAGAATAAGAAACTTAAAGCTAATGTAACCATCCTGACTAAAGAGAAATCACGATTAGAGGAAAGGAATGACGATTCAACTGGTAATACTATCAGTATTGCTTCATATAGTGTATACTTTTCATTAGAAGAGATTGAGAAACTTAAGGCTAAAGTTGTTGATGATGATATGGTAATTGCTAAACTGACAAAAGAGAAATTACAACTAAAGGAAGAGTTGCAGTCAATGGAAGATATTTCAACTGATACTAAGAGTATTCAATGTGACTACTGGACCAAAGCAGGTTAGTGTAGTCTATTGTTTAAGTATTAATAATCTGTTATTGTATAGAATTACCATTTGATGGTATGGTAACATTGGGTAAGAAGGTGTGTCTGTATAATGCTAACAGTAGTCATGAGTTAGAGTTGGATGAATGTGGTCTTAGCCTCTCTCTACCTGATGGACTCTTCTCTCCAGTGGATAGCACTGTCTATGAAGCTGCTGCTCAAGGTCTATGGGGAGGAGATTTTGAGTTCCCTGGAGACACACATCTGATCAGTAGTGTGTGTTACATATCTGTGTCTCCTACTGCTCCTGAACTGGATAAACCAGTGACTGTACAGCTAGTACATTGTGCTCATTTGAGCTCTGAATCTCAGAGCAAGTATCTGAGCTTTGTAGTAGCTAAGGTTCAACCTGGTAAAAAGTACGGCCCTTTTAAGTTTGAGTTGTTACCAGGAGGATCATTCTCACCTGAGTCTCAGACTGGTACTATAGAATTGAAGAGTTTCTCACTGGTTGCTATTGTGATGGGTGGAGCCACACTCGGTGGTGCTGCTGGTGTTGCTGCTGCAATTGCTGTTGGTGT